CGGGGGACCAGCAGTTAGCATAATGGCTATGTTGCTGAACTCCCATGTAGCCAACCGCAGTTCGAGTCCTGGACCCAGGGCTTAAACTCATGCCAGGCACATGTGTGTATGTGCCCAAGATCCCGGGAGAAGGGATTGCGGCGTGGCCATCCTCCCTGGGGGGTGATTTCTCCCTTTCTGTCTCTCTGTCTCTCTCTCTCTCTTTCTGGTGAGCACACGAGCCTTATAGCAAAAAGCTCTCAAAAAAAAAGTCAGAAGAAAATTAAAATGCACTTGTAACTAGATTCTAGCTTTGTTCAGATTTTTAGTGTAAGCTTTTTTGTGAATCAATAAAATGTGGGGAAAAAACTTTAGTATGGAAGGGAGAGAGGGGAAAGGGAAAGGAAGAAAAAAGTAAAAGTATACAGTTGACAAAAAAAAAAAAAAAGAAGGACTAGGGACCAGCAGATGGTATAATGGCTATGTTGCTGGACTCCCATGTAGTCAACTTTGCGTCCCGGACTTGGTGGCTTAAACTCACACCGGACGCGTGTGCAGGCAGCAGCGAGGCCATCTCCCCCGGGGGGTGATTTCTCACTTTCTGTCTGTCTGTCTTTCTCTGTGTTTCTGGCAAGCACACGCCCTGTAGTAAAAACCTCTCCAAAAATAAAAAAAAAAAAAAAAAGAAAGAAAAAAAGAAAGAAAGAAAAGAAAGGCTATTTGGTGATAAGTTATAGAGTAATATCTTTGGCTTGACAGACATGCATAGTATTTTTGCTGGAAAAAGAAATGTTGTACACTGTAAAGATGTGATTAAATGTAAATAAATTAATTTAAAAAGACTACATTAGCGTCAGTTACTTATACACTGATTCGGACAAAGAATAGTTGCGTAGAAGCAAGTAAATTATCTGGAGAGACTTAGCAGATAAAGTTACTTTAACAAGCTCTATCAGAATTCTCTTGGTTTTTGACTTGTCCTTGAAGACAAGAATGCTGTTCTTCCTTCTAGAATGGGCCAGCAGGTGGGGTGGCAGTCGGCCTGTGGGACTTCTACGTGGTCGGCTTCAAATCTGAGACCTGGCGGCCTGCATTTTCTCTTGCCCTCCCTCCCCCCGTGAGCATGTGTGACCTATCGCAAATAGAAAACAAAATAATAATAAATAAAATTAAATAAATGATCCTTAAAAAAAGGTTTTCCCTTTATGTAAATAAACCTTAGTCCTTTCTAAGGTGTATGTACTTCCAATGATGAAAAATGAAGGGTATTTTAGGGATGAATCCAAACTTCGAAATGCAGAGTTTGCTTGCTCCTGCTTAGGTTATATCTGTGTGTATCTATCTTCTATCCATCCATCTATCTATCATCAAGTCGTGGAAAAATAGAATTAAAGTTTGAGTTTATTCGGGTACAAAATAATACAAAATGGGGCCAGCAGGTGGTGTGATGGTGAAGGTGCTGGACACCCACATGGCTGACTGCGGTTCACGTCTCAGACCCGGCAGTGTGCTTTCTCACTCTGGTCAAATTAAGATAATAACAATAATAACAAATCAAATTTTTAAAGAATTTTTTTTCATTTATTATCATTATTATTTGTTTAATTTAACCAGAGAAAGAGAAAAGTAGAAAAGTAAGCCTCCAGGTCCGGGACTCAAACCTGGTGGCTTGCTTTCTCACTTTCCCCCTCTGTCTTTTTCTGGTGAGGAAATGTACTCTAAAATGAATTAAAAATAATAACAATACTAAATCTTCTAAAATAAGAAAATTTCAGGTTAGCAACTGGTTAAATACTCTTCGTCTCTAAGAGACTCGGACTCGGGAGAAGAGGGGGTTCAGGTCTGACCTGCAGCCTCGCTGTGTGGGGACGCTGCGCGGGGGTCAGGACGCAGGAGCCGCCCAGTCACCAGGCCAAAGCTGTCATCACAGCGAGATCGTGTCTGCAGACGCCACCCTGCCAGGCCCCTTGGAGAGCATCTTAGGATAGAAAAAGTATCAGAAATCTGTCCTCAAATCTAACTTTTATTCACAAGATGCACTTTACTTGAATTACTTGAACCCACTGCGTGTGCTCGTGAACAAATTAGAAATGAGCAGAGTGATCTGCGCTCCACGTGGTGGCTCTTACCACAGAGCTGCCTGCTTCGAGGCCTACGTGTAATGAAAGACGTAACAGCCAGCGCTGGACCTGCTGCTTAGAAATTCCGGTTCACACACTAAAGCACTAAGTGCAGCCCTATTTTTAAAATTTGCTTTTCATTTATTATTATGTTTTTAAATTTGACCGGCAAGAGACAGAGAGAGAGAAAGGGAGAGTGAAAAAGCAAGCCACCAGGTTCAGGACTCAAATGTAGTCAGCCATGTGGGAGTCCAGAGCCTTGACCACATGCCACACGCCACCCCTGCAGACCAAATATTGTTGAGTGCCATTCTATACCAACCCATACCCCTAACTCTGCACTACTGCTGAGATATGTGTGAGTGACAGAGAGGACACAGATGGCTACCACGCTGATCGTGAAAGAAACTATGACCAAATATAAAGTTTAAAAATGCTGGGGCCAGCAGGTGGCGTGGGAACTAAGGTGCTGGAGTCCCTCATGGCTGACTGTGGTTCAAGTCCCGGACCTGGTGAACTGAAACTCATGCCGGGCACTTGTGTGTGTGTACCCAAAGTCCCAGGAGGAGAGAATGAAGAAGGGATTGTGGTAATGGCCATCCCCTCAGGAGTGATTTCTCACTTTCCCTCTCACTGTCTCTGTCTATCCACAAATGCACATGCCCTATAGCAAAAACCTTGAAAGAAAAAAAAAAGTTTGTTTTTTCTTTTTTGGGTAATTTTTGCTATAGGGTGTGTGCATTTGCCAGAGAGGTTGAGAGAGGGAAAGTGAGAAATCAACCACGCCCACTCCCTGGAGGGATGGCCATACCGCAATCCCTT